AACGTGGGGAAGGACACATTGCTGTCCTGGCTTGCAAGATAAGAGCGCCCCAGCCACCCACAGGTGCCCTCTTGCCCTGCACAGAGAGCCCTGAGCCGGGTGCTGTTCCTGACCCCTCACCTGCCCGCCTTCCTCCTGCGGCGCCGCCTGCGCAGCCACGTCCTGGAGATCCAGCACCTGGACCACGCCCTGCTGCACCTGGGCCTGGGGCAGCTCTCTGAGGAGGAGCTCCGAGCGGTGAGGACCCCTCAGCACCCCCTGCCAGCTGCTGGCACCTCGGGTGGCACCAGCATGGCCTCGGGGCACCAGGTTGAGCCCTTTTGGGAAAGGGTTCTGGGCACTGGGGTCACACCTGGGGTGGGGAAGGTGTGGAGGTGTTGTGAGGGTGCCAGGATGAGGGGAGGGATGAATCTGACTCCATGTTTCTTAGAAGGCTGATTCATTATATTATGATATGATATTAGGAAGATATAAAACTATAATAAAGAATAGAGAGAAAGGATACAGTAGAAAGCTAGAAAAGAATGAATAATAAAAACCTGTGGCAGACCAGAGAGTCCAACACAGCCAGACTGGGATTGGTCATTAAGGAGAAACAATTCACATGGAACCCATCAAAGATGCACATGTTGGTAAACAATGTCCAGACCACATTCCAAAACAATCAGGTAATTGAATAATAAAAACCTGTGACAGACCAGAGAGTCCAACACAGCCGGACTGGGATTGGTCATTAAGCAGAAACAATTCACATGGAACCCATCAAAGATGCACATGTTGGTGGTAAACAATGTCCAGACCACATTCCAAAACAATCGGGTAATTATTGTTTACATTTCTTTTCTGAGGCTTCTCAGGAGGAAAAATCCTGGTGAAGGGATTTTTCAGAAAATGTCGTGGTGACAGAAGGGTTCCTCACTTCTCTTCCTGTTGGTTTCTCTGGGTCTGGGTTGAAGGCACTTGAGATGCCTTCAATCCAGACCTCAATGAACCTCAATGCCTTGAGGTTCATATTCGGGCTCAGGTGTTTATTATTTCTGAAATTATTATTTCTTTATTATTTCTTGTTTATTATTTCAGTAAAACAGTCTCACTGCTGTGAGCTCAGCAGCTCTTCATTAGAAGGCACAAAATGCCCAACAATCTCTTGGTACAAGGTCTTTAAGACTAAACTATCCAATTAAGAGCTGACACCTGGATTATTTTCCCTTTTAACCCAATAACTGATCCCAAAGAGCCCCAGTGAGGACTTTTGTGCCCAATTCCAAAATGCCACCCAGACCCATGAAGAAGAAACCCAGGACAGCACCCTGTGCCTTCTGTTTTGCTTCCATCCATAACACACTCAACAATTTAAACCCTAAATTTCTCACCAGGTGATCCACTACTCCCTATAATCCGTTAAACATTTTTATGGGTTCTACTCTAGCTTGAAGTGGCCAATAACTGATCCCAAAGAGCCCCAGTGAGGACTTTTGTGCCCAATTCCAAAATGCCACCCAAACCCATGAAGAAGAAACCCAGGACAGCACCCTGTGCCTTCTGTTTTGCTTCCATCCACAACACACTCAACAATTTAAACCCAAAATTTCTCACCAGTCATGCACCCACACTGCCGGGGTCGGCTGTCACTTGTCTCTGCCCCAGCACGGGAAAAGGTGCTTCTGGGCAGGCCAAGTTTTGAAGGAGTCTGGACTCTTGCTTTTGGTCCTCAGTTGTGTTTATTGTTCCTTATCTACAAAGTTTTTCTGTCTGTCCAGCCAAGGTCTGATCAGCAGGACAGCCAAGGGCACTCTCTCCCGCCCATGGGGTGGTTGTGTCTTTTATAGAAAAACTACGTATAAGATATTTACCTTCAATTTTCAATACTTTTCACCCTTGTTAACAAGTGCACTTTCACTATGAACCAATCCACACATGCCAACATCATCCTGAACATGGATGCCAAGGAGAAGAAAGAAGAAGGACAGGGCACGCCCAAATCCCTCCATCTTGGGACCCCTGTCCCCCATGTACAGGATTCCAAACCCCCTGTACAACACACAAAACCCCCCTGTACAGTGCTCCAAAATTTTTTCCTTCACCCTGCGATTCCTACTTAAACTTTTGTGGCCTGTAGTTCTTCATATAAGGTTGGCAATTTGCTCCATGAATTAAGGTCGAATTTCCAGGTGTCCTTGGCTTCCTGCCAGGGCTTGCAGCCATCCAGGGCACGCAGAGATGCTCTGGGTTCTGACACCACCGCACTCCTGTCGTTTCTGTCACACTTTGGGGGTTCCAGTCCGGCTTGAAGTGTAGGAAACTTTCTGCATGGATGAGGGGCAGAGTCAGAGAAATATCCCCAGAGCTCGGGGTTTCCACCCCTTCCCCTCCTGGCGGGGGTGCTGGGGGTCTGTGTGTCCGTCCCTGACGTGTCTGTGTGTCCGTCCCTGACCGTGTCTGTGTGTCCATCCCTGACCGTGTCTGTGTGTCCATCCCTGGACACCGTGTCTGTGTGTCCGTCCCTGACCGTGTCTGTGTGTCCATCCCTGACGTGTCTGTGTGTCCATCCCTGGACACCGTGTCTGTGTGTCCGTCCCTGACGTGTCTGTGTGTCCATCTCTGATACGTGTCTGTGTGTCCGTCCCTGCACCGTGTCTGTGTGTCCATCCCTGACCGTGTCTGTGTGTCCATCCCTGGACACCGTGTCTGTGTGTCCGTCCCTGACGCGTCTGTCTGTCCCCAGGCCTGTTACCTGCGTGGCCTGAACTCCACTCACCTGGGCCAGGCCGAGTGCCAGGCGTGGCTGGAGCAGTGGCTCAGGCTCTCCTGTGAGCTCCAAGGTACCCGTGCCAGGGGGAGCGCCCCCCAACCTTCCCTGGGCACAGGAGTGGCACTGCAGGGTGGCACTGTCCCCACCTGGGCACTGCAGGGTGGCATTGTCCCCATCTGGGCACACCCCCCCTTGCAGGGTGGCATTGTCCCCATCTGGGCACTGCAGGGTGGCACTGTCCCCATCTGGGCACACCCCTCCCCCGTGCCCAGCTGTCCCTGTGCTGCAGGGCTCTGCGGGCACACTGCAGCCCTGGGGAGGGGAAGGGGAGTGGGGTGGGAATGGGGGATCAGGAGCCCTGTGCCCTCCTGTGCCCATCCCTGTGCCCATCCCAGTGCCACTCCTGTGCCCATTCCAGTGCTCCCCCCAGTCCCATCCCAGTGCCCCTCCTATGCTCATCCCAATGCCACTCCTGTGCCCATCCCAGTGCTCCCCAGTGCCCCTCCTGTGCCCATCCCAGTGTTCCCAGTCTGCCAGGTTCCTATCTCAGTGCTGCCCAGTCCACCCAGAACCACCCCCTGTGCCCCCCACAGGGCTCCGGCACTGCAGGGTGGCACTGTCCCCACCTGGGCACTGCAGGGTGGCACTGTCCCCATCTGGGCACTGCAGGGTGGCATTGTCCCCATCTGGGCACTGCAGGGTGGCACTGTCCCCATCTGGGCACACCCCTCCCCCGTGCCCAGCTGTCCCTGTGCTGCAGGGCTCTGCGGGCACACTGCAGCCCTGGGGAGGGGAAGGGGAGTGGGGTGGGAATGGGGGATCAGGAGCCCTGTGCCCTCCTGTGCCCATCCCTGTGCCCATCCCAGTGCTCCCCAGTCCCATCCCAGTGCCACTCCTGTGCCCATCCCAATGCCACTCCTGTGCCCATCCCAATGCCACTCCTGTGCCCATCCCAGTGCCACTCCTGTGCCCATTCCAGTGCTCCCCCCAGTCCCATCCCAGTGCCCCTCCTATGCTCATCCCAATGCCACTCCTGTGCCCATCCCTGTGCCCATCCCAGTGCTCCCCCCAGTCCCATCCCAGTGCCCCCTGTGCCCATCCCAGTGCTCACACTGTGCCCATCCCAATGTCCCTCCCGTGCCCATCCCAGTGCCACTCCCGTGCCCATCCCAATGCCACTCCTGTGCCCATCCCAGTGCCCTTCCTGTGCCCATCCCAGTGTTCCCAGTCTGCCAGGTTCCTATCTCAGTGCTGCCCAGTCCACCCAGAACCACCCCCTGTGCCCCCCACAGGGCTCCCAGAGCCTGTCCCAGTCCACCCAGAGCCCATCCCGTGCCCACCCCAGCACCCCCAGTGTCACTCCCGCTGCAGTCCCAGCACCCACACTGTCCCCAGTGCCCCCAGTGCCCCCAGTGCCACTCCCCTCCCAGTCCCAGTCTGTCACCGTGCCCCCAGTGCCCATGCCAGTCTCTTCCAGTGCCCCCAGTGCCAGTCCCAGCTGTCCCAGTGCCACTCCCCTCCCAGTCCCAGTCTGTCACCGTGCCCCCAGTGCCCATGCCAGTCTCTCCCAGTGTCCCCAGTGCCACTCCCTGCTCTCCTAGTGCCCCCAGTGCCAGTCCCAGCTGTCCCAGTGCCACTCCCCTCCCAGTCCCAGTCTGTCACCGTGCCCCCAGTGCCCATGCCAGTCTCTTCCAGTGCCCCCAGTGCCAGTCCCAGCTGTCCCAGTGCCATCAGTGCCCCCAGTCCCAGCTGTCCCAGTGCCCCCAGTGCCTGTCCCAGTGCCCCCAGTGCCCATCCCAGCTGTCCCAGTGCCCCCAGTGCCAGCCTGACGGTGCCCTGTTCCCCGCAGCCTCGGAGGCCTCTCTGCTGGCCCACAGCATGGTGCTGCTGGCGCTGAACCCCGGGCAGCCCCCCGAGTGAGCGGTGCCAGCCGTGCCCCCTGCCAGCCTGCCGTGCCAGGCCGTGCCCTCTGCAGCCTCCGGGGCCCGGCGGCTGCGCTGCTCCACTAATTAACTGCGCCTCGTTAATTGGGGAGAGCGAGCGACTCCCTGAGCTGGGGGTGCGCCGGCGGGATCTGCTGGAGGTGCTGTGGGATCTTCAGGATATTCCTGTAGGATCTTCTGTGGGATCTGCTCAAGGTTCCTGTGAGATCTTCAGGATGTTCCTGTGAGATCTTCTGTGGGATCTGCTCGAGGTTCCTGTGGGATCTGCTCAGTGGATCTGCTCAGTGTTCCCGTGGGATCTGCTGGAGGTTCCTGTGAGATCTGCTGGATGTTCTCATGAGATTTTTCGGATGTTCCCATGGGATCTTCTGGATGCTTCCCCTGGGATTTGGTCCATGTTCCCATGGGGTCTTCTGGGTGTTCCTGTGGGATCTTCTGTGGGACCTGCTGGATGTTCCTGTGAGATGCTGGAGGTTCCTGTGAGATCTGCTGGATGTTCTCATGAGATTTTTCGGATGTTCCCATGGGATCTTCTGGATGCTTCCCCTGGGATTTGGTTCATGTTCCCATGGGGTCTGCTGGGTATTCCTGTGAGATCTTCAGGATGTTCCCATGGGATCTTCTGGGTGTTCCCATGGGATCTGCTGGGCTTTCCTGTGGGATCTGCTGATGTTCCCATGGGATTTTCTGGATGCTTCCCATGAGATCTTCTGGGTGTTCCTGTGAGATCTACTGGAGGTTCCTGTGGGATCCTCCGGATGTTTCCCGTGGGATCTTCAAGATGTTTCCATGGGATCTTCTGGACGTTCCTGTGGGATCTTCTGGACGTTCCTGTGAGATCTGCTGGTGTTCCCGTAGGATCTGCTGATGTTCCCCTGGGATTTTCTGGACATTCCTGTGGGATCTGCTGGTGTTCCTGTGGGATTTGGTGACGTTCCCATGGGATTTTTTGGACGTTCCTGTGGGATCTGCTGATGTTCCCATGGGATCTGCTGATGTTCTATGGGATCTGTTGGTGTTCCCATGGGATCTGCTGATGTTCCCGTGGGCTCTGGTGGCCCTGGCTCCCTCCAGGAGCCCCTGGGGTCCCCCCGAGCCTCCCAGGCCCTGTGGGATTTGGGATTTCCCAGAGCCCTTTGGGGTCCCCCCGAGCCTCCCAGGGGATTTGGGATTTCCTGGAGCACTTTGGGGTCCCCCTGAGCCTCCCAGGCCCTGTGGGATTTGGGATTTCCCGGAGCCCTTTGGGGTCCTGGAGCAGCAGCGGGGTCAGGAGTCCATGGGGGGCAGGAGGGGCCGGGCTCTGCTCCCTGCAGGGCTGAGGGGGGTCCCAGGACTGAACCCCCCCCCCAAATTCAGCTCCTTGGAATTTTGGGAATTTCAGAGCCCCCCCTGGGGAATTCACCCCTTTTCAGCCACAATTCTGATTTAAATCTACATCAACATTTTATTTTCTTTTTCCACTGAAATATTTCTCTTTAAATACAGAATTTTTGTGAATTTCAGAGCCCCCCCTTGAGGAATTCACCACATTTCACCCACAATTCCCATCTGATTTAACAATTTATTTTCATTTTCCACTGAAATATTCCCTTAAATACTGAATTTTATGCATTTCAGAGCCTCCCCCTTGACGAATTCACCCACTTTCAGCCACAATTCTGATTTAAATCTAATTTCCCATTTTCTTTTCTTTTTCCACTTAAATGTTCCACTTAAATACAGAATTTTGGGAATTTCAGAGCCCCCCCCCCTTGAGGAATTCACCCCTTTTCAGCCACAATTTGGATTTAAAATCTAATTTTACCATTTTTTTTCTTTTTTCACTGAAATATTCCCTTTAAATACAGAATTTTGGGAATTTCAGAGCCCCCCTTGAGGAATTCACCCCATTTCAGCCACAATTCCCATCTACTTTAACCATTTCTTTTCTTTTTCCACTAAAATATTTCCTTTGAAAAAATAAATTTCATTAATTTTAGAGCCCCCCCCCTTGATGAATTCACCCCATTTCAGCCACAATTCACATCTATTTTAACATTTTATTTTCTTTTTCACTGAAATATTTATCTTTAAATACAGAATTTTGGGAATTTCAGAGCCCCCCCTTTTCAGCCACAATTCTGATTTAAATCTAATTTCCCATTTTCTTTTCTTTTTCCACTTAAATGTTCCACTTAAATACAGAATTTTGGGAATTTCAGAGCCCCCCCCCCTTGAGGAATTCACCCCTTTTCAGCCACAATTCTGATTTAAATCTAATTTTGCCATTTTCTTTTCTTTTTCCTCTGAAATATTCTCATTAAATACAGAATTTTGGGAATTTCAGAGCCCCCCCCCCTTGAGGAATTCACCCCTTTTCAGCCAAAATTCTGATTTAAATCTAATTTAACAATTTTTTTTTCTTTTTCCACTGAAATATTCCCTTTAAATACAGAATTTTGGGAATTTCAGAGCCCCCCTTGAGGAATTCACCCCATTTCAGCCACAATTCCCATCTAATTTAACCATTTATTTTCTTTTTCCTCTGAAATATTCCCCTTAAATACAGAATTTTGGGAATTTCAGAGCCCCCCTTGAGGAATTCACACAATTTCAGCCACAATTCTTATTTAAATCTAATTTTACCATTTTTTTTCTTTTTTCACTGAAATATTCCCCTTCAATACAGGACCCCTTTTCAGCCACAATTTGGATTTAAAATCTAATTTTACCATTTTTTTTCTTTTTTCACTGAAATATTCCCTTTAAATACAGAATTTTGGGAATTTCAGAGCCCCCCTTGAGGAATTCACCCCATTTCAGCCACAATTCCCATCTAATTTAACCATTTATTTTCTTTTTCCTCTGAAATATTCCCTTTAAATACAGAATTTTGGGAATTTCAGAGCCCCCCTTGAGGAATTCACCCCATTTCAGCCACAATTCCCATCTAATTTAACATTTTATTTTCTTTCCCACTGAAATATTCCCCTAAACACCGAATTTCCAGGAAAAGCACCCCCTGGGCACCGTGCCCGTGGTTTGTGGGCGAGGCTGGACAAACCCAGATGGGGACGTTGAAGAGAAGTTTTGTATTGACAGCGTTTGGGAAAATAAAAACAAAAACCCCGGGGGAGCGTGGAGGATTTCAATATTCCCCTTAAATACAGAATTTTGGGAATTTCAGAGCCCCCCTTGAGGAATTCACCCCTTTTCAGCCACAATTTGGATTTAAAATCTAATTTTACCATTTTTTTTCTTTTTTCACTGAAATATTCCCTTTAAATACAGAATTTTGGGAATTTCAGAGCCCCCCTTGAGGAATTCACACAATTTCAGCCACAATTCTTATTTAAATCTAATTTTACCATTTTTTTTCTTTTTTCACTGAAATATTCCCCTTCAATACAGGATTTTGGGAATTTCAGAGCCCCCCTTGAGGAATTCACCCCATTTCAGCCACAATTCCCATCTAATTTAACATTTTATTTTCTTTCCCACTGAAATATTCCCCTAAACACCGAATTTCCAGGAAAAGCACCCCCTGGGCACCGTGCCCGTGGTTTGTGGGCGAGGCTGGACAAACCCAGATGGGGACGTTGAAGAGAAGTTTTGTATTGACAGCGTTTGGGAAAATAAAAACAAAAACCCCGGGGGAGCGTGGAGGATTTCAATCTGATTCTGCCCACCCTGGGAGTGGCACAGGGACAGTGCCAGCCTTGGGAGTGGCACAGGGACAGTGCCAGCCTTGGGGGATGGCACAGGGACAGTGCCCAGCCCTGGGGAGTGGCACAGGGGCAGTGCCAGCCTTGGGAGTGGCACAGGGACAGTGCCAGCCCTGGGAGTGGCACAGGGGCAGTGCCAGCCTCGGGGGGTGGCACAGGGACAGTGCCAGCCCTGGGAGTGGCACAGGGACAGTGCCAGCCCTGGGGAGTGGCACAGGGACAGTGCCCAGCCTTGGGGGGTGGCACAGGGACAGTGCCCAGCCCTGGGGAGTGGCACAGGGACAGTGCCCACCTTGGGGGGTGGCACAGGGACAGTGCCCACCCTCGGGAGTGGCACAGGGACAGTGCCAGCCTTGGGGGGTGGCACAGGGACAGTGCCAGCCCTGGGAGTGGCACAGGGACAGTGCCAGCCCTGGAAACTGGCACAGGGACAGTGCCAGCCTCGGGAGTGGCACAGGACAGTGCCCACCTCTGGGGAGTGGCACAGGGACAGTGCCCACCTCTGGGGAGTGGCACAGGGACAGTGCCAGCCCTGGGAGTGGCACAGAGTCAGTGCCCACCCCTGGGGCCGTGCCAGCCCCGGGAGCTGCCTGCAGGGCAGGGAAGGGGACGGGCCAGGCTGGCGGCAGGCCCCAGGCACGCCGAGCTCAGCCGGGNTGGGAGTGGCACAGAGTCAGTGCCCACCTCTGGGGAGTGGCACAAGGACAGTGCCCAGCCATTGAGAGTGGCACAGAGTCAGTGCCCACCCCTGGGGCCGTGCCAGCCCCGGGAGCTGCCTGCAGGGCAGGGAAGGGGACGGGGGATGGGCCAGGCTGGCAGCAGCCCCCACAGGGACAGTGCCAGCCCTGGGAGTGGCACAGGGACAGTGCCCAGCTCTGGGGAGTGGCACAAGGACAGTGCCCAGCCATTGAGAGTGGCACAGAGTCAGTGCCCACCCCTGGGGCCGTGCCAGCCCCGGGAGCTGCCTGCAGGGCAGGGAAGGGGACGGGCCAGGCTGGCAGCAGCCCCCGGGCACGCCGAGCTCAGCCGGGCTCCTGCTGGATCCGGGGGCACCCTGGCACGGCTCGTGCCTCAGTTTCCCCCAGGAATCGCTGTGCCAGCGTGGCAGGAGCTGAGAGCTGCCCTGGGCTGGGCAGGTGTGCCCGGCTGCCAGGGCAGAGCCCAGGGGAAAGGAGCAGGTGGAACAGGAGCTCTCTGCTTTGCTGGCTTTATTCTTAATTCTATATCTCCTAAAAACCGCCAATAACATGAAAAAACAAATTGAAAGTAGCAAAAAACAGAGCAGAAAGCAAAAAGAACAGCAAAAAACCCCAACCCCTCATGCATCCAAGCAGCTACAGCCACCCTAAAACCCCTCCCACATCCATGGAATGGAATGAAATAAAATGGAATCAAATCTAATCTAACTGAAACGGATGGAATCGAATATAATCGAATATAATCTAATAGAATATAATCTAATATAGTAAAATGTCATCGAATATAATCTAATATAATAAAATATAATTGAATATAGTCTAATATAATCTAGTATAATCTAATACCATCTAATATAATCTAATTGAATATAATCTAATATAATTGAATATAATCTAATATAATCTAATATAATAAAATTAATATAATGTAATATAATGTAATATAATCTAATCTAATTGAATATAATCTAATATAGTAAAATATAATTGAATATAATCTAATATAATCTAATATAATAAAATATAATTGAATATAGTCGAATATAATCTAATGTAATCTAATATAATCTAATATAATTGAATATAATCTAATATAATCTAGTATAATCTAGTATAATAAAATATAATCTAATATAATCTAATATACTTTATCTAATATATCTAATAATCTAATCTTATTTTATCTAATCTAATCTAATATATTTTATCTATATAGATAAATAGATATAATAATCTAATCTAATCTAGCTATAATAATCTAATCTAGATATAATAACCTAATCTAGCTATAAGAATCTAATCTTATTTTATCTAATCTAATTTTTTTATATAATCTAATCTAATCTAATATAATATAATCTAATCTTATCTAATTTTATTTTATCTAATTTTATTTTATATAATCTAATCTAATTTAATTTAATCTAATTTAATCTGATCCAATCTAATCTGGTCTCCCATCTCTAGTAGAGTCTTAAATTGGCCAGAGACTCCCAGTCCATGCCCTCCCTGCCGGGCGAAGGGGCCTGGAAGGTTCCGGCGCCCCCGGCGATGCTCCCTCGCATCTCCTCGTGCCACGCGGCCTCCAGGAAAGCCGTGGCCATCAGGGTCTCATCCGAGCCCGCCTGGCCGGGGCTGCCCTCGGGGGGGGCGGGGGGCAGGGGGAGCGCTCCGGCCTGGAGCTGCCCCAGCGCCGGGAAATCTGCCGGCTCGGCCGCGGCGTCGAGCAGCTCTTCCCACTCCGTGCTGCCCTTCAGCTCCGTCAGCTCGCCCGGCTCCTCGCGGCTCGCCGGGCCGCAGGCGGGCGGCCAGGAGGCCTCGGCTTTGCTCGGCTGGCCCGCGGGCTTCTCCTCGGGGCTCCACCTGTGGCTGCTCTCGAACTCCTCGAACTCGCGCAGCAGCCGCTGCAGCTCCGCGCCCACCTCCAGGCCGCCCCCGGAGCCGCCGGTGGCGGTGACAGCGGGGCTGGGGACACGGCGTGCGCCCTGCTGGGCTCTCCTGGGCTCGGGAAGGGGCCTGTGGGACAGAGCAGGGTCAGCTGCACCCACCCAAACCCAAATCCAAATCCAAATCCAAAATCAAACCCAAATCCAAATCCAAATCCAAATCCAAATCCAAACCCAAATCCCCAAAGCGGATGTCTGAGAAATCCGCTTTGCCCGGAGAAGCCGGGGAGCCTCAGAGGAAAAGGAGAGCAATGATTCTCTGATTTGCTTCTGCTGCGTTTTGCTGCTTTGGGAGGTGGTTGGAGATTGTGAGGCAGAAATGAGACAGGATGGGAATTTTCCAGGGTAGAAATCCATTTCAATTTAGGTGAAATGTACATATTTGAGTTAAGTCTGTCACTTGCAAACAGAGCTGTTTAGTCTGACACAAAAACCTGTGCTCGGAGAAAATGCCTCAGCCAAAGGACAAGAGATAAGGGGGGCAGACAGAGAGAGCAGGGCAACCTGACCCAGGAATTCTTTCTGATAAAGAAAGATTTGATAAAGATTTGATAGCAGCAAATGTCACGCTAAATCAGTAGAATGAATATGTATGAGCCTATTGTGAAATATATATATATATTATACAAATAATATATATTTGTATAATATAATAATGAATACAAATAATTGCATGAATGTTATTTGAGAAGGAGATAAAAAAGGATCTGGAGTTCCCAGAGGCACACGTGTCATTTTAGGGGAACCATCCCCACATGTGTCCAGCGCTGTAATAAACACACCAGTGTTACAACTTCCACAAAAGTTGTGGAGTTTGTTCCCTTTTCTGCAAATTAATTGTTTATCCAACATGTGAATTGTTTTGGCTTAATGGCCAATCGTGGTCAGGCTGCGTCAGACTCTGGACAGAGTCACAAGATTTATTATTATCTTGTTAAACCTTCTGTAGGTATTCTTTACCTATTCTTTAGTATAGTTTATTATAGCATTATTAATATAATATAATATAATATAATATAATATAATATAATGTAATGTAATGTAATGTAATATTATATTATATATTATAATGTAATGTAATGTAATATAATATAATGTAATGTAATATAATATAATGTAATATAATGTAATATAATATAATATAATATAATATAATATAAATGTAATATAATATAATGTAATGTAATATAATATAATGTAATGTAATATAATATAATGTAATGTAATATAATATAATGTAATATAATGTAATATAATATAATATAATATAATATAATATAATATAATATAATATAATATAATATAATATAATATAATATAATATAATATAATATAATATAATATAATATAATATAATATAATATAATATAATATAATATAATATAATAATAAATTAGCCTTCTAAGAACATGGAGCCTTCCTTCCCTCATCTGGGAACCCCAAAAATACCTCAGAGCTGGAATTTAACAGAGCAGAAATCCATTTTGGATTTAGGTGAAATGCACCGCTTTGAATTATTAAGTCTGCAGCTTGCTAGAATAAGTGAGTTTGTTTAGTCTGTCATCACAAAAACTGCCTCGGGTGAGGAAAAATGAATGCAATTCCCAAAGTGAAGAGATAAAAAGGACCCCATGAACTTTGAAATGGACAGGATGACCAGAGAGTTTTCTCTGTACAAGGACTAGCTGCAACCAGTAAAATGAATATGCATGAGCCTATTGTGAATATGTACAAGTAAGGGGGATAAAAAAGGATCAGGAATTCTCAGGGGGGTACTTTAGGGTGTGCTTTAGGGAAAACAATCCCCACATGAGTCCAGTGCTGGAATAAACACACCAGCTTCACAACTTTTACGGGTGGTGGAGTGTAGGGATGTGCTCCTTGTTGATAGAGTAACAAAATTATCCTTTATCTCCTAAAAAAGGAAAACAGCCCAGAAGTTTCTCTCCTCAGTTAGCAAAGAAGACACCTCACAGGACCTGAGGGACTTCACCTCAAACTTTAGGATTGGACAGGAGCCAAAAAGTCCCACCTGAGCAATTCACCAGAAAAAGAGAACAAAGGAACTAATTGCTTTTGTGGGGTGTTTTACCAGGAGCAAGAACTTCTTGCACCTGGCTCGGTTTTTCTCTATAAAGAGATTTGTTATTTTGCCTTTTATTAAAAGTGTTAATAAAAACTTTTTATTAAAACTTTTCATTAAAACTTTTCCGTTTCCAACACCGCCACAGAAGCCACCCTGCTGATTTTATGCCACCTGTAGTAGCGAAGCTATCTCGAACATGCTATAAATCCCCAAAATCGTATAAAACCTATCTCAAAGACCCTGATAGCGGTGGAAATTTTTTTTTTTTTCATTAATTACCTGTGCCCTTTGAGGGTGCTGCTCTTGAGCCACTGGGCGTACTGGGGGTGAAGCTTCCAGAAGGCTCCTCTGCCCGGCTCCCCCTTCTCGCGCGGCACCTTGACGAAGCGCTTGTTGATGCACAGGTTGTGCCGGATGGAGCTCTGGACACAAAACAACAAAAGCAACAAGCACTTGGCTTTGAAATGTTCCAAGTCTAACGGTAATAAAATGGTTATAAAAGTAGCAATGTAATTAGAGTGATAAAAATTTGGACGATTTGGATTAGGACAATATGAGGGAATAAAAGAGTTACAGATGGTTCGGAGGGAAGGAAGGAGAGCAGATGCCACTGGATCTTCAGAGGAAGACTACACCCTTCTCCAGGATCCCTGCCACAGCAGAACCACCCCTGACACTGCAGGAGGGCTGCAGCCACAATTCTGACTGGACTGCCACCAGCACCCTGACCCGCAGGGCGTCAGGTCATATTCTGACTCTGTCAGAGTTGTTTTTAGTTTACTGCACTGTTTATTTTATCCTTTTATTTTCTTCCCCATTAAAGAACTGTTACTTCCTGCTCCCATACTTTTTGCCTGAGAACCCTTAATTTAAAATTTATAGCAATTTGGAGGGGGCGAGGGGATACAGTCTCCATTTCAGTGGAGCCTCCTGCTTTCCTGAGCAGGTTTTACAAACCAAGACACCCGACTTTCCAAACCAAGACACCTCCCCGTACCTGCCAGCTGGGGTGGGCACGGCGGAAGTAGCAGAAGTTGTCTCTGATCCACTTGCAGATGGCTGCCAGGGTGAGCTTGGGCTGCTGGCTGGCTTCCATGGCCATGCAGATCAGCGTGGCGTAGGAGTAGGGCGGCTTCACGTGAGCGTTGGTCCTGTAGTCGACGTCCCCCGGGGGCACGGGGGGGGTCCCAGCCCCGGGCACGGCCACGGGCGCGCGGGGGATGTCGATGTAGTGGCAGAGCTCCTCGGAGGTCAGGGGGAAGCCCGGGCTCTGGAAGTCCACCAGGCTCACCAGGTTCTCCCAGATGCTGCAGCGGTCCTCGGGGTCCTGGGAGATGGGGGCCAGGCCGATGTGGGCGCCCGTGAGGTCGGCCAGCCACAGCAGGTCGGGCTGGGCGCCACTCTGCTCCTGATGGCTGGAGCTCGGCTGGCCCTGAGCTGGGAGCACGGGGCTGGAGCACACCATGGCTGGGAGCTGGGCGTGTTCACCTGAACGGGAAGGGGCAGGGGGTTGAGGTTCTGCGAGGCTGGCACCTGGATAGGTGTTCCTGGAGCAGCCGGAGCCTGGATGTTCCCAGTGGGTGACCCCACTGCCTGTGCTGGGCACGGAGCTGCAGTGCTGCCCCGGGGGGTTGTACAGCCCTGAGCCTCGGGGAAATTCCCTTTGAGCCCCCTAAGCCTGCCAGGCTGGCACTGCCCAGCGAGGTTTTGGCAGAAAGAAATCAACATCCCCTCCCCGCCCTTAAATAACACAAACCAGTCCTGCATCCTACCAAGCAAGGTTGTTTCTGCAGACAGCAGGAGGGTCCAACACCTCGACTTTAAAGACCCTAAAATACCCATCCATCCCCTCCCGTCCCACCCTATCCCGTCCCTGCCACCATCTTCCCCCGTTTGATCCCCTTTGTTTGCCATCTCTCCCTTCCCCGCTCCCCAAAACCAACCCGTGTCGGGGAGTGACCCCAAGCGCAGCGTCCCTGCGGGCTGGGGCAGCCTCAGCCTGCGGCGAGCGCCGGGCCGGGGATGCTGCGCTGGTTCCGGTGCCGGGCTGCAGAGCCGGGCAGCAAAGCCGGGCTGGCGGCGTGGCTTTTGGGCCAGAAGAGAGAGAGAAGGAGGGAGAAGCGGCAGCGGAGGGCAGCAGCGGCCGCTGGCCCGGCGGCGGCGGCGGGAGCGCTGCGGAACCCCGGGCGCGAGGGCGACGCCGCCGTTTGGGGCGGGGGGCTCGCGGGCGGCTCCCGGGAACGGGCATTTACTCGCCCCGCCGCCAAACGGGCTCCTTGGCCCTCGTCAGGCCCGGCAGCGAGGGAGCCGCGGCATCCCCCGAGCCAGCCCGTGGCAGCCCCGGGCCGGCCCTCGCAGCCCTGCCCGGCTCGGGGGCACAGCGGGGGTGTTGGAGGGGCGGGAGCGCGGAGGAGATGAGGAACCAGGGCTGGGAAAGGAGAAGGGCAAGGGCAGCGCGGAGCCCCCAGCGCTGGCAGGCTCCCACTGGGGATGGTGCCCGAGGGTGCCCGGGGACCCGCCGTGCCCAGAGCGGGGCCGCGGCAGCGCCAGCACCACGAAGGCTGTGTCCTGCCCTGTGTCCTGTGTGTGTGTGTCCTGTGTGCTGCCCTGTGTGTGTCATGTGTCCTGTGTGTGTCCTGTGCCCTGTGTGTGTCCTGTGTCTGTCCTGTGTGTGTCCTGCCCTGTGTCCTGCGTGTGTCCTGTCTGTGCCCTGTGTGTGTCCTGCCCTGTGTCCTGCCCTGTGTCCTGTGTGTGTCCTGTGTGTGTCCTGTGTGTGTCCTGTGCCCTGTGTGTGTCCTGTGTGTGTCCTGTGTGTGTGTCCTGTGTCCTGTGTGTGTCCTGTGCCCTGTGTGTGTCCTGCGTGTGTCCTGTCTGTGCCCTGTGTGTGTCCTGTGTGTGTGTCCTGTGTCCTGCCCTGTGTGTGTCCTGCGTGTTTTCTGTGTGTGTCCTGTGTCATGTGTGTGTCCTGCCCTGTGTCCTGTGTGTGTCCTGTGTGTGTGTCCTGTGTCCTGTGTGTGTCCTGTGCCCTGTGTGTGTCCTGCGTGTGTCCTGTCTGTGCCCTGGGTGTGTCCTGCGTGTGTCCTGTCTGTGCCCTGGGTGTGTCCTGCGTGTGTCCTGTCTGTGCCCTGGGTGTGTCCTGCGTGTGTCCTGTCTGTGCCCTGGGTGTGTCCTGCGTGTGTCCTGTCTGTGCCCTGGGTGTGTCCTGCGTGTGTCCTGTCTGTGCCCTGGGTGTGTCCTGCGTGTGTCCTGTCTGTGCCCTGTGTGTGTCCTGCCCTGTGTCCTGCCCTGTGTCCTGTGTGTGTCCTGTGTGTGTCCTGTGTGTGTCCTGTGCCCTGTGTGTGTCCTGCGTGTGTCCTGTCTGTGCCCTATGTCTGTCCTGCGTGTGTCCTGTCTGTGTTCTGTGTGTGTCCTGTGTCCTACCCTCTGTGTGTCCTGTGTGTTTCTTGTGTGTGTCCTGTGTCCTGTGTGTGTGTCCTCTGTGTGTCCTGTGTCCTGTGTGTGTCTTGTGTGTGTGTCCTGTGTCCTGTGTGTTTTCTGTGTGTGTCCTGTGTCATGTGTGTGTCCTGTGTGAGTGTCCTGCCCTCCGTCCTACCCTGTGCGTGTCCTCCGAGTGTCCTGTGTCCCATGCTGTGCCCTGCTCTCTGTCCTGCCCTGTGTCCCACCCTGATGCTGTGCCCAGCATTGCTCCCATCCCAAAAGTCCCAGGACAAAAAGGAAGCACCGGTGTCCCCTTGTCCCTGCAGCTGAGAAAGGGTCCCCGCGACGGAGCAGCCACACGGTGCCGCTGTGCCTTTGCAGGGGAGGAGAACGCAGCTCTGCATCACACAACACGAGCAGCCAGGGTGAAAACGGCCCTGCTCCCAAATCCGGGCAAAGACTGCGCAGATCTCCCCGTTCCCAGCTCAAACTCTGATTTGTGCCGCGCTCCAGAGGACACAGGAGCCCCTTGGTGCTGATGGGGGTTTTCATTCTGGCTGAGTCCAGTCAAAACCATGAAAACATCGGGAAAACCACAGCTCCCCAAAGGAAGTGTCAGCTGGGAGAGCTGTTTAGATGATTGGCTGGAAGGCACTTGCAATATGGTGTAAAAAAAGCTAATAAGCCAAGAAACTCTTCTAATGTAATTAGGAAATTGTTGGTCTCTGATTGTGATGGCATGAATTGTAACATTTATATTGTTTCACTCTTCACATGAGACTGAAAATGGAATAAAAGTTTTTAAAACTTTCTCGGTTACCCCATCTCCAAGTCAGAAAAGAGCTTAATCTGACACACTGTTGCTGCCTTCAAGCTGGAGCAGGCACGGCAGAGAAATGCAAGAGATGGTTTGGGATGGCAGGGAAAGGGAAGAGATGGTTTGGGATGGCAGGGAAAGGGAAGAGATGGTTTGGGATGGCAGAGAAAGGCAGGAGATGGTTTGGGATGGCAGAGAAAGGGAAGAGATGGTTTGGGATGCAGGGAAAGGGAAGAGATGGTTTGGAACATCAGGGAAAGGCAATGCTGGGTAGGGAAAGGGAAGGCAAGGCTAGGGAGGGCAGGAAAGGCAAGGAGGACCAGAGGAGGAGCAGGCAGGGCAAGGCAAAGCCAGGGAAAAGTGGGGAAGTCAAGGCGGTGCATGGGTGGGAAAGGCAATGGAGTCAAAGGAAGGACAAGGAGGGGTTGGTGAGAGGAGACAAGGGGGGTACGAAAAGCCAGGAAAGTCACAGGAGGGGTAGAGGTGTCAGGAAAGTTATTCTTTGCTAAGAAGACTATTTCTTTACTAGGAAAGAAAGAATTCTTTAGTACAGAAATAAATAGTATTCCTTATAAATTCTTAATTTGTATTTCTTAACTAGGAAAACTAAAAAAAAAACCAAAAAAAAAACCAACAAAAAAAAAAACCCCACACCCAAAAGCAATAGTACAATAAAAAAAAAACCCTGAAAAACATGACAGAGTCAGTAATGCCCTGTCCCCCTGTGGGTCAGGGTGGTGGCACAGCCCCATCCCATGGGGCTCAGCCCTCCTGCAGTGCCAGCTGTGCTTCTGCTGGAGCAGGGATCCTGCACAAGGGGGGAGTTTTCCTCTGCAGCTCCAGGGCTGCTGCAGATGGGCCTGCTCTTCCTCTGGGAATGCAGGGCAGGAGAAAGCTGCTCCTCTGGGAATGCAGTGGGCAAAGGCTGCTGGGCTGTGCCAGGCTCAGATTGTGTCCAGGTAGGAATGTTTGAAATCTCAGGTTCTATCCAGGTAGGAATGCTTGGCTCCTCCCCTGGGCGAAGCATCTCCCGATGGATGATGGAATTGTATCAGCCATGCAGGGACACTCACTGGCCATGAACAGAAGATAATTCATAATTAATGGTCCATTTACAAGAAATGTCTCCCTGAGGGAGGATTGGTTGTGGCAGAGATAAGGAAAACTGCCCAATGAGCAGCAGATAATGCCCCACCTCTGACAGATAACAGAACACACTCTTATCTTACACCCCAGGCCTTGGCCCCACAGGGGTGCCTCTGCTGTGCCCCCAAGGCTTTTCTTTTGTGGAAACTTTTTCTTCTTTGAGCTTTTATTCCTGTGGAAAGGAGGAATCCTTTGGTGCCAAATGTGGGATCCTGGCTTTTAAAATTGTGAATGTCCAGGGATTTCTCCCAGAAAGCTGCCAGGACCAGCAGGTCTGGCTGGGCTTGGCCTCAAGGGGGTCAGGGTCAGGGTCAGGGTGAGGATTATGATTAAGGTTAGGGTTGGTGAGAGGATTAAAGTTCAGTGTTTGGTTAGGGTTATGTTTTGGGTTCAGGGTTATGGTTATCATTTGGGTTTGCTTTTGATTTGGGCTTTTGGGGATTTTTTAATGTTATTTGGGTTTGGCTTATTATTCTGGTTTAGAGATTTCGTTATGAGTTTTGTTAGCTTTGTATTTAGGGTTAGATTTTGGGGACGACTTATTGTTTTGGGGGTTTTTTTATTAGGTTTTTTTTTTTTTTTAGCTTTATAGTTACAGTTTTGTATTTGGTTTTTGCTTATAGGTTAGTGTTGGGTTATGGTACGAGCTAGGGGTTAGGGTTAGGGTTAAGTTTCAGTGTTTAGTCAGGGTTATGGTTATGATTTGGGTTTGTTTTTGATTTGGGCTTTTGTTTTTCTTTAATGTTATTTGGGTTTGCCTTACTATTCAGGTTTAGGGATTTTGTTAGGATTATTGCTAGCATTGTCTTTAAGTTTACATTTTGGGTAAGATTTAGGGGTTTTTTTCAGATTTGGAGGTTTTTAGCTTTAGAGTTATGTTTTGGATTTGGTTTTTGCTTATAGGTTAGTGTTGGCTTAGGGTAAGGGTAAGGGCTAGGGTTGAGGGTTATTATTATGATTAGGGTTAGGATTGATTGTTGGTCAGGGTTATGATTAGGATTTGGGTTTGCTTTTGATTTAGGCTTTTGTTTCAGCTTTATTTTTATTGCCTTGGGTTTCAAATAGGATTCTGGTTTGGGGTTTTGTTAGAATTTTCATTAGCATTTTCTTTAGGGTTAGATTTTGGGGAAGACTTAGGGGTTTTTTAGATTAGGGGTTTTTTAGATTAGGCTTTTTTTTAGCTTTAGAGTTATATTTTGTGTTTGGTTTCTGCTTATAGGTTAGTGTTGGGTTAGGTTAAGGTTAGAGTTCTAGGTTTAAGGCATTCTTTTTAGGGGATTCAGGTGCTGTTTGTCCTGGCAGCTTTTGTCTTGGAGCAATCCTTGGCTGTATTGAGTTTTGGAGCTGCCATGAGCTCCCGTGGGAGAATTACTGCTCTTTTCCATACAATGAAAGCACTTAACCCCAGTGTTTCAGGTGCAGATTTAGGGCTGCCTATTGTATGTAATAACCAGCAGGACCTTTCTGTGCTGCCCCCAGCCCTGGCACCACCTGGGCACCCCTTCCAGCACCCAGCCCTGCCTTTACATAACTG